CATCATCCGCAGCGAACCAGAGTATGAGTTGTAGTGTTTAATCACTTACGAGATGATGTCGACTTTTTATTTCCAGTTATTTCAGATTAGTTTGATGATTGAAAGTTTTGTACTATTTTTTTACATATCCGAGTTCTCTACAAAGCAAGTTTCGCTGTACAGGACTCAGCACACTGACACCTTTGCGCTGCTCGTTACTGGCTACCGCACTCATTACGACCCCCCCTCTCCTGGCGGCCAAATACGACCCCCCCCCTATGGGGATTCCCCAACCAATGCATGTGCTGCCCTGCATCTCATCTAATGTAGTGGTATATACTAGGATTGAAACGGTAAATTTGAAATTTTGAAAAAAACTTTCGACAAAACCGCAAGCGCGGCGATCCGACTGGGCTTCAGTAGGAATGCCAGGGACCCACTTCACACGCGGAAGGGCGATCGCCCGCCGAAGGCCGAAAGTGGTTGGTATAGTTGACTTGTCAGACGGGTTCAACTCACGAGGAATCCTTCAGAAAATATTTTCCCGATACCTGAGATCGCGGAGAAGAGTGGCAGTCATCAGCTAAGTGGAGTCTAGAGGTTTGCCAATTTATTGGTGGTTACGTTCGGCTGCGCCTCAAGAAGCTTGAGTAAACGCCTCATTGTCTAACTCCGAGTTAAATAAGTCCAGCTTGGAAGCGCTGATGCAAAAGCTACCCTCTGCCATGGCAAGCGATATCCTTCCTCAAGACAACGTAGGTGTTAGCTTCCTCGACTACGGCGGAGTGGCCCTACAGGAACTCATAATATGGGATAGGTCGAAAAGTACCTCGATCTCTGAGGGACTTTTAAGCTTTGAAAACTTCCACAAAGTCATGATATACCCATGTGCAGAAACCCCAGAGGACAGTCTCCACTAATCAGGGATAAAAACATCCAAAATGATTTTTGGTCTTTTTCTAGAACAATTCAATCAAAGTGCCGCAGGACTTTCCGTCCAACCTACTGGCATAGCGCATTTTTGCGAGTCTTTCAGCCTGCAGGTGCGAAAGAATAATCAATGGTTCAAGGATCTGATAGCACTCGAACTCTAACGCCTCCAGCTGGCTGCTATCACTTGCTGTCGTCCATGACCAGATGTTGTTGTTCCGCTTCCTATGCATGTTCTACTAATTACCGTATACTGTGCACAGCACAGCTGTACATGTACTCTTATCCCTGAGACGGGGTAGGCGTGGCATTCGAACATGGCACAGAACTGGTTACTCGTGGGATATTTCAATTTGAGACAACCGCCATCTTGTTCTTTGTTGGACAGAGATGACCACATTTGGGTCAAAATGAAAATATCTCTCCAAAAGCATAGCCACCACGACGTTTAGTTGAAGTACGCAGCCACGCCTACCTCATCTCAGGGATTTCGAGTGTACTTATCTACAAATTTGATAACGTTCTTTAATTTCCTTTCTGATGCTCTTTAAAAGTAAGCATTAGTTGTTATCACTGTCTATCGCCCGCTCTCAATATCCATACCATCCATACCAAGAACAAGAAGAAGAAGAATAAGAAGAATAAATGTTAATCAGGCGTGATAACTAGGTAGTAGGTACTGCTGGAAGCAAAAATAGTTTAGATGCAAGTAAAGAGTTGCAAATTGACACCGGGGGATCGTTCTATCCTTAGGTACTTCTAGTTGAGTATTACACTGCTAAAGTAAGCTTCACGAGATCCGGGTTCTCCATTAACTGGTCAACTCTTGTCTTACAGTCTCCACAGAAATTAGTCAGGAATTGATTGCCGCTCAGAGACAAGTGGCACGATAAATCCGTACATGGTCGATACGCCTGGCTCCAAAGAAAATCGCGCTTAACGGGCGCTGTACGGCGCTTTTCCAACAAACGACGCCGTTACAGCGCCTAACCAGGGGACAACATGCCGACCCAGACGCCCACCCACCGCAACCGCCCGCCCACAAATGGCCTGAGAGTCAGATAGACGCTAGAACTCTCGCCCTTTATTTGCAAAGTGGAACCTATACGATGCACTGCTATATGGATACATACTTGCAGCCGTAACTATCAAAGCGGTTGCTGGCACGATGTTAACTGGAAACCGGCCCAAAAAGACTAGTACATGCCGTCGGAGCCTAGGCTTTTTTCATGAGTTTTTCACTGATTAATTTTCCTTTTCCGTAATTTTCCCTGCATATGGCATCCCTGCTACTTGTTTAGAGCAAGTGCCAGACTATAGTGCCTTATGCTTCCGATTCACTGTTGTTTTAGCTCCGAAAGCCGGTGCCGCCCAGTGTGTCTTTCGCTGCGGATCTTTTTATCTACTCAAATGCTGTATGCTAAGGATAGCACCCGCGGTGTACAGAAAAGGGTTTCCTCCCAAGGCTTGGAGCCTGCTGGAGAGGCGACACCTTCAAGGCTCGAAGATTGCTGCAAAGAGGATCTCAGCGCCGTCTAGAGACAAGCGGTAGGCGATCTGATTGATCACGAGATCCAGGACAAAAGGGAATTTCTGCGGATCCGAGCTTCTGCGAATGGCGATTCCATGCTTTCCAAAGATGGCGTGGAAGGAACCTTGTCAAAGGTCAGGGACACGCTAGGAAAATCTCAGCGACTCTTAGGACCCCCTCCCACACTATGAAGATACTCTTTCTTTCAAGCTCCCACATTTGCTGCTCTCTTCGCTTCCAACGGTGTCTCCTCTCAGGTTAGAATCCTCGCAAGAAGAAATTCCAAAAAATCTCAGAGGCAGCTGGAAAAGGATTGCTCGCAAGTCTCAGAACCTGCTGGAAAGTGGATTTTAGCACGGTCCAGAGCCAGGGCGGTTGGCCATCTAATTGATCGCGAGATCTAGGGCGAAAGGGGTTCCTGCCGGATACCAGCCCTTGCAAAAATGTGCCCATGCTTTCCAAGAATGGCGTGGAAAAGACCTCAATGATTAGACAAAGGAAATTTCAGCGACTCTTAGGATCCCATGCCCCAGTAAAACCACTCTTCGTTTCGAGACCCCCATTTGCTACTATCTTCACTTCCAACGGTGTTTAGCCTTAGGTGAGAACTCTTTCAAAAAGTTATCCACCATATCTTACCATGAGTAAATCTTTCATTAACGACATCAGAGAATAAGTGCTCCCACACTTCTGAACGAGCCGTGCGCTTAAGACCTCCCTACTCGTTCGCGAAGAAATGCTCCTTCCCCCCCCCCTTCCCCATTTACTTTTACACGGCTTGATGTGCTCTGCTCGACCCTCAAAACGTACAGCTTTCTTCTACGAAACTAGAGAGACTGTTCATTGCGGCTCACAGTACCTTTCCGCAACGAGTGAATTAACCCTTATGACATTCTGTGGTGTTCCTTCAAAGTTTGGGGGACTTGCGTGTGTGATTTGGAGGTAGCCTTCTGTATCCATATCCCGGATATAAAAAGGGCATGCTTGTGTTGTTATTTGGACATGGTTGGGATGTTTTTGCTTCGATTGCTTGTATTTTGCTTACATTTCAAAGCACCTGCCATTCTGGATTAGGTTGGACCAATAGGAAAAACAAATAGGAAGCCACAGGAATTATCAGGCCACAAGACGCCATAAGAGTTCCGCTGAGTTCCATAGATGTTTCCACCGAGCCAGACTGCGCATGAAAGTATTCCATTTTTGTTTCGATGCTGTAATTTTCGGGACAGTATCAATCGCTCCAACTCCCTATATTTTCAACGATTGCTGGATATTCGGAGTGTGATAATTACTGCAATTTGCAGCCTGAGATGCAGTGGATGTGGTCAATACCCTTTTTTTCGAACTGACATACCCTTTGGACACTTTGATAGGAGACAACTCCTATCCTGTCTTCTGTAGAAGTGACCACAGTTGTCCCACCAAAGGCGCAGACCCCCCCCTCCCCCCACGTTCAAATGAAGTACGCAGCGATGTGTAGGGCCATTCCACGAAAACTGCATATTATGCGAGTTGGGTGTACAGAATGTGTCCCCACTACGCGTGATTTGCTCGCGTTCATTCGTCCCGTTTCTCCGCACTTTTGTCCGAACATCCTATTTTACCATTCAGGTGTGGATTGGGTAGGACATGTGCCAAGACATAGGGCGCACGTCAACCCCTTGTAACACACTGTCTGCTATTGGGAAGAGCGCTTCACACTTCCACACTACTCCCAAATTCCACTTTGGATGGCTTCCTGCTGCTTCGATTGTTCCGTCACTAGCTATTTCCAAGCTTGATGGTGAAGGTTAGGCGATAAGACAAAAGACTTGACAACGCTATGATAGGAGTGAAAATTGTCCAAGCACGCCCTTTCCTCATTGTATGCCCGCACAAGTAGGGAGTCTCATACAAGGCAATTCATGCATTTTTCCGCAATTTAGCTCCACTTCTGATTCCCGGAGCGACTGAAGAGCACGCGAACCGGTAAAACCAAGTATCGAGTAAGGGTAAACCTAATGTTTCGACATGTCATAAGAAAAGTGATAAGGAAGTTATATAGATAAGGATAAAGGATAAAGTCTTCGCCGTTGATCAATCCCTTTGTGGGATGCGGCACGCATTCTACTTCCATTCAGAATCGTAGTGGCTTATTGAATGCGATGTGGCCTATACAATGACTTGCGGTGGCCAGCCGATGTACAAGTCAGTGTTTTATCCTCCCAGACGAATCTGGTACCAATTCACCGTCCCCGGAGGGTAGAAGGCTTGGTTGGCCTGGGCGGGAGTCGACCCGGGATTCGAACCCGGGACCGCGCGAATGGTGAGCGCCCCACTTGTCACTACACCATCTCCGCCTCGTTATATAGATAAGGAACATTATGTAAACTCGAGGATGAGGTAGGAATCAGTTCTGGCGGTGTTAAGCGGTTGCAATGCTGAAGTGTTGCCTCATTCTTCGTTCTATTATCATCTATCCATCCACAGTTGGATCGTTTCCGGTTACATTGCGGCTCAAACCCGCGAGGATCTTAAGAACGGGAAATGGATTGCTTTGCCCAATAATCCGAATGAGGCAATGATCAAGGTGAGTTTTTAGAGTCTGCAGCCTATCCTTGCTGCTATTTGAAGGTGAATGCTTCGTTTTAACTTCGCCATTTCCAGGTGGTGAGCATGAAAGACTCCATCGGCGGATACGATCACGTTTATGATAGAGCTGAAAAGTTCTGCCAGAAAGAAGGCTCTCACCTGACATCGATCCGTTCAGAAGATGAACTAGGGTTCATATCAGGTCACTATTTCATCATTAACTTCACTATGTTCATTTCCGATAAAATATCATGGACAACAAGGTTAGGTGGTTGCGAATATTTGCAAGTTTTTAGTTACGTCTTTCCGTGTAACTCTGTTTCCAACATTCCGACGCATTTTCGCCTTAAAGGCACTTTCCGCGATAAAATAAGGCTATGACCTTTCAAATGTGTCAGACGATCCGGAAGGAGATTGCGGAGGCTGCGCTACCTTTAGAAAGTGAAAATCCGCAAGAATTCCGCTTCAAGCTAACCAATTAGGCCCAAGGGCGCCCCTTAGGCCCATGCCGACCCCCACCGGCTGCTAGCTACTAGCTAGTAGCCACTATGCTATCTCTCTCCATTCCGAATGGTGAGAGTGAGGTGATACGATAAAAGAGCTGATATCTTTATGATAACGACGAGTGGAAATTCGTACAAACATGCGTTTTCTTCATTGCATGCATGTACAAGTTGGGGTCGATATGGAATCCTATTTAGGGCATTTTCGGCTGTTTTTCTGCTGCTTTTCTCCGCTAATCAGATACCTAGCCCTTTTTCGTTCCTATGTGGGTTCCACAATCTGTGTCGCGGGCTTTGCCTTT